CTTGATATGCAAATTATCAGACGGAATCTATGGAATTTCCTTTAAACCCTTCTGACGCACAGATAAAAGTTCCAGTACATATAAAGTAAAGCTCCGGATAACTTAAGCTACAACGGGTTTGAATCAGGAAAACAAAAAGCTAAGATTGAGGGTAGATGCCGAACACCACACTGTAATTGGTAAGGATCTGCTTAAGAGATTTTTTTTATAGCGGTATTTATATTTTCAAAAGGGTCCATATAAGTGAGACATGAGGTGGAAACGTGATGGATTCTTGAAAACTTCCTTTTGAATGTACAGTATTTCATATATTGTGACGGTGCCTTCATCTCCCACGGTGTGAAATGTCTCTAATGATGTCTACACGTCATGTTGGATTTAGTCCCATGCCGTCACAGGGCAAACTGCACGCAACACATGCTTAGCAAGGCTGCTGCGAGAAACATAAATCAAAGCGAAACAAGCCTCACGGCATTTAAAAACGATAGCTGCTGTTGAATTAAGGCACTCCTAAACAATAACCTATTAGCAAGATAGCAAACAAACTACAAAAGGATCCTCAACACTCCAGCTGAGACACATTTGCTCTTAAGTTAAATTACTAATTTCAAAAATGTGTTAAACCAGTGTCTCGACAAACGCTACAAGATAGGTCAACAGAGCTTAGCACCGGCACAAGGGTGGAAATGTGAAGCGTGTAAACTGCTCTCTTAATCAAGGCTTGCAATCCACGACACATAACAGACAAACATTTTTCCCATGTTTCGTTAGAACGAAAATGTTTGGTTGTAGCAATAAGTGAAAAGCAATCAATTGTATCTGCATTGTTGAGCCACAAAAAGGAAAACAAAAATAAATTGCGTTTCGCTTCATCGACTCAAATCCACTCAAGAACGACACGGATCAGAGAACCACATACAATTCAGAAAATTAGCACCACTTAGCAACAGGAAAAATATGCACATGACCACAAAAATGAATTTTCAAATTAACTTTCTGGCGAAATAATTGCGACCTTTGAAGCGATAATAACAATTGCGTATATGATATTTCACGGTTCTTGCTTGGCAAAAACTTCATGCAAAAGTGCACGAGTTCTCAACCTTGATAATTCAAAAGAGATCGAATTGCTAAGGTTATCTTGGTTTCCCAAACAATTATGATTTGGCTTTACGAATGATCACTACACGGGAGTTTCCTAATGGACACTTGACATCAAACAGCTGATCGGTCAGTGTGGCGCCAGAAACACAAGTTTGTCTTTTTGCCCTAATTTAACTGAAATACAACCGTTTATTGCCAATATCCAAGAGCTTATACTAATAGATAAAATCGGTAAAACTTAGCGTTGAACCATCTACAGATGCACGCATGTGAGACAGCAAATTTTGATAATCTAAACAATTGAATAAACGTGAAAGTCAAAACTTCAGTTTCACAGCCTGTGACATCAACTAAAAAATATAAATTGAAAGTGTCTTTCACATATGCAAATGACGATGTTTCTTTTTCAAACAAGGGTTTTCATGTAGAGGGAAGGCAGCCAAAAATAGAATTTAAGTACAACTGCCAAAAATTCATTAAATTATTTATCAAATAGACAACGTGGAAAAAGACAAGCCAAATACCTAAATTCTATATCGTACGGTAAATAGTAGCTGGATTGTTTCTGGATCAGAAACAAAACGCCAAAAAATCGGTCAGCTGCACAATTTTAATAAAAATGTTTAAAGATATGAAGCCTCAAACGTCTCCGAAATATCAGTGAAAACCTCATTTGAGAACGAAGAAACGAGTTGTCCGTCAAAGTTAACAAGTATTGACATAGTTGTAAATAGGACTAGTTGGCACAGCTGACAGACTCAGTATGAACAGTATAAAATAGTCCCCGATTGGCCAAGTCGTGGTTTACGTGAATAATCAAATCAAGAAAGAAAAAAACCCTGTTATAAAAACCAACAATTTTAAAGGAGCTCGGGTATCGACGAAGACAAGGACGCAACACGCTCCAATACTGCAGAAAAGCCTACCCCAGAAAAGCACTTAAAAATAGTCGTTTCAGATACTGTGGCCTGCGTGTGTCGTTATCTGAAAACTAAACATTCGGTGAGTGTAGCAGACGGATCGACAAACTATTTTCAACACATGTATGCAAATAAGTCGAACTGAAAGAGCCAGTGGTGGAGAAAGCAGAAGGTAAGACGACTGTAAAGAGAATTGGGTGATGAGAAGCAACCCACAATTTTGAATATAAGGCAATGCACAGTACTTTCTTAGGATGTTATGAGTCTAAAAATTCATTAAGCATTCAATTCTCATGCCATAAATTCACCCTCTTAGGAATAATTCTAACTAGTTCTTATTTCTCTTGCTTCTGATTTTTTAATTTTCGCACAAAGAAGAACCGTCAGTGGAGAGTTCTTGCTTGTTTCAACTAAAATTGCCTTAGTGTAAACACATCGTAAACATTACAAACTTATTAAATCTCGAGCTCTTGATTCCATGTGCTTCGGTGTCCATTTAACTCGCAAGCAGTTAGTGCATTAAGCGATACTGAAGTGAAAGCAGGGGCAATCCAATGTGTTTTCTAGTATACAAATACCCTACTTAGCCGTCAAATACCTCACAAATCACTGACAACAGAAATTGCACAAAATGACTGGACACTGGTCAGTGTTTAAAAGAAAGCAAATGCTTCATTTAAATTTTAAATGGATTTAACAAATTCGCCCAAACTTCACAAGTATCATAAGAAAAAGTTGTTATAGATGCGCAATTTAGATTTCATGTTTATAGGCCCTGATAGAATCGGTTTAAAAACTTGAACCTAGGTTAATATTGGTAGTCGCAATCCTCACATTTACCGATGAATATAAATGGATTACCCTATTCAGGTACTTGGAATGTGACTCTCTATTCATATCAACCAAAATAGCCTATTGAAAATCAAAGGCTTCCGTAAAGCTGAAACATAAACATGTAACTTTCGACACATTTCTTTTTGTGTTGTGATTGAGAACAAATCTGGTAATGGTAAATTTAAAGCTCGCTAGTGAAACAGGATAAGGTGATGTTACTCTTTTTACAAGCGTGGAAATAAAACCAGATTAAGGTTCAAATATGAAGCTAATAATGATTTAGTTGACTCTACAGTTCTCTGTATGCTATTGGTTGAGCATCACAGCGCGCAATACGAAGGTATGGCCTTCGATTCCGCGTGGATTACTCAGATTTTTTTGTACCATGCTGGTGCCAAGACGAATGACATTTTTTCCCTCACATTTGATACTACATAAAACGATAGGAAACACTTAGTTTCTAAATTTGATTGATTCTACACTTAAACTGGTTTATAATTCATCGCCAAGTTGAGTAAAGTGAATCGGATTTAAATCTTCAAATAAGACGCAATTTCTTTTAAAGAAGGATTTCGAATCTGTATCAACTAGCGCATGAAGCCAAATTCCATTTCTAAAAACAGGAGGGCAGAATGCCAGAGATCATACAGTTTATGTTCTGATGGTCAGTTCATTGTTCGCATGAAAATCAAATCCGGAAAGGAATTGTGAAATTATAGCTTCGAGGTGAAAAAAAAAATTAAAAAATTTATAGACGTTAATCTCGTGATACTAGGATACGAACTGTCAAAAAGCCTGAAAGGGAAAAATGAATTCGAAGGACAATGATTAAAGGAAAATTATGAGCGCTGGAGAGTTTTCACATTGGAAAAACATCTTGCCTCGCTGATTGAAATTTCCACATCGGCTAAGGGGTGCAATAAAGGCCTCCGTCTGTTTAGTAAACAATCAGCCTTAAACTTTAACTTCAACGATGTCGATGCGATAAGTGGTGAGCCGTAAAATTTAACGAAATACAAATCATTGTATTATACAGAATAGGAGGTTGATGAAAATCTTCTAAGGAGTTACAAGTTTTTCAATGAACAATGAGTATAAACTGGATCTTTTTCAAAAAGGAAAAACGTCAAAAAAAAAAAAAAAGAAAAACACGACAACGACAAAAAAAAAAAGATTTAAAATAAAACTCGCTGAACGAGAAAGTTTCCTTCTATCAGCAGTTCTCGATTTGCGGCTAATTGCTAATTTTCAAAGGGGTAAACTGCGGGGGCAGTGAAACACGAAATATGCCAAAGGGTACCAAATGATACAAGCAAGACTTATTAAGAACTGACTGAAAATAAGATAAAACCGCAACTGCCGAGCTAATGAAATATTTTGTGTTTTCGCACATAAGGAGCAATCTTAGAATTTGGAAAAGATTGGGCAATCTAATTAAAAATCTTCAAAGGGCTATTAAAAGGGCATAGATCAAAATAGTTTAAATGCCAATAAGTCACGAGAAAGATAAAAGGAAAGAATGCAAATCTCCAAGCTGAATATTGAAATGTAAAAATAGAGGGAAAAAGGACAAAAAAAAAAAGAAGGAAATTAAATGTAAACCACTTCAAGTATGAAAATCATTTCAGAAAAGTCTTTTTCCAGTGTATTATATCTATTTACCAATATCTCGACAAATACGTCAAGTTACAGAGTTCTATTTAAAGCATTATAAGACAAATGAACGAACATTTCATTTGTATTTAAATCTATATCCGCCACTTGCGACTAATTAACATATAGATAGCAAAACTAGCGGCTCGATTTACAAAGAGCTACCTATCAGGGAGGTTAATTGACGTTCTAGGTTGTGGCTGTGTTGCATACAAAGACAGGATGTACTTCGAAAGCTAAAAGGGCAAAACCATTACCCAGTGGCTTGTTTTACTCCCACATGAACCAAAGTACAAATTCGGGAGCAGGTGTACTTTGGCTGTATCCAAAAAATTATCCTCAAAACAAAGGCTAGATTACTTTATCATGTAGCACAACGAGTCACCAAACATTGAGCTCAAGATATCAATAGAATTAATTCTTTCCTGGTAATTCCGGCGATTCGAAATGTCATAAGCGAGGTGGGATTAAAAAACTGTCCCCGAAAACCGCGGTAGGCGGGGAACTTTCTCACTCGACATTAGATTTTTGCGCAAAAGCAATTTGTCATTCATTTCGGCCGTATTAATGGACAAGAAAAACCTGTGGCGCTCTAACTTGCAAGCGAGGAAGTGAAACTAATGTCATGCTTGACAACACCCTAAAAATAGCTTAAGATTGATATGATCGGTTTACTTTTCCTTTGACGTGTGGTTGATGAGTGTGTTCATTTTGCCATTGTGAATAATGAGAATTAGCCCATATGCTCCTTAGTCGGCTATTAGTTTCAATAGCAGTCAAGTTAAGATCCATGAGAGATATCTCGCACCCAAAATCTTCCCAACCATAGCCTGGGCATGCTACATAACTACATCGTAGATCGTTTCCTCGAAGGAAAACTCCTGGAATACATCTTGGCCCGAAGAAGGTACGAGAATTTTGCGAGCCATTTATATTAAGATTGACTTTCAATTCAACTGTTTAACACATGTCCCGAACAACCAGTCAAATATCCGTCTGCGCAATCACTTGTAATTTACCGTTTTCACTACTCCGTATGAGTTTACTGCCAGAGAAACCCCCTGCCCTGGCTGTGTTGAAAGACAGTTTGAGCTAAAATGAAAAAGTGTCATAGTAACTGTTTTCGTGACTTCGTCACAGAGAACAACACGAACTCAATAGCATAGCTGCATCACATCGTTTCTCGGTTTGATGAAAGAAATAAGCGATTTTTCTTCGATAAAACTCGATCAGCCTACCTTTTTGGCGACCAAAACATAATTCGTAAGGTTAAGTAGAATTCAGTTGTCAGTGTTTAGACCACAAAGGAAGCAAAACAGTACAACCTCAATTAAGTCGTTTACAACTTCATTGAAACTGGCAATCCAGGCAATCATAATATTTGTAGATATTTAGCTGTTGTTCCCAAAACTTCATTTTCCGGCTGGCTTATATTTCAATTTTTTTCAGGTCTGTTAAAACCTGACATGTTATGTTTCGTTAAAGAACCATTTTTAGCGAAAATTATGACCGAAGGTAAACAAATTACCATTTGTCGCACAGGATTTACATTATAGCGTTGTTTCTAAAGTAAACGTGTCCATCCAGCGAAAACCTTGGCCGTTGCGAAATGTCTGTCGGAGCAAAGATTGGATTTCGTCCAACGCCACTTATCGGTTCTAACATCTTTGCTAATTTAGATTTTCATCAGGTAAGAATGAAAACCTCTCGAATTCGCGGTTAAAGGGCAGAAAAATATTTGCAGTTTACACAATACGTTCAAAACTGCAAGCACGCAACGGGTCTTGTTGACTGAAAACTGAGAAAGTTTGACAGGTCGAAGGTACACCTGGTTTTTGCTATAATCTGCGAAAGAAGCTATAAAAAGGCCATTCTCTCGAAAACCCTTAACTGGATACTAAGATAAACAGTCTAAGTCCGAAAATCCCTTAATAGATTCCTAAAACGTGCGAAAAAAGCATACCCTTAACTGCTCAGTCAGAGCGTTGTTTACGAACTGAAAGGACCGTGTACCGCCCAGGTTTACATGAAACAAAGCTTAGCATCAACACATCAACACGTCATCTACATTCTAACTTATGGAACGGCAAGAACCTAAGATTTAAACTCTTACATTTAATTTTACTCGCGCTATAATGAATACAATATTTCTTACTGGAAAAATAACTCCTTTTTTTAATAAGGAGTAAAGATTTCATTCCCGATATAAGAGGAGCGTAATATTGGTAAATATAATAACATATAAACCCTAAATTGTTTTCGGTTTGAGTGTTTTTCTTCTCTTGTCAAACAAAATTTTGAATTACGTTTGTAAGAAATCGATCTCATCCCCTCAGGGCAAGAACTGCTGTAATGTTAATGAATAATCAAACAATCAAATGGCAATATTTTGTTTTCTTTTGTACATCATTTGCGCAGGCCACATCAGTTTCACGCGTGTTATAGTTTATAATAGAGAAGAGCGTCAGCTTACTGCCAAAAAAAAAGGAAAAATATATGAATAATAATGGTAATAATGAAATAAAAACACGATCAGTGTGAGAAAAACGGACTTAGTTTCGGGAAAGAATCCTATCGTTTCAATGAGCTTGAAAAATCTAGATGTCACAAAAGAGAAAAAAAAATCAGTTCTCTGGCGTCACAAACTTCTGACCTAAAATTTACTGAAAATAACTATCCATTTGGAATATGGAAAACTAAACTTGAAAAACGTCTTTGGCATACACAGTCCACCACGCCTTATTTCCTTCATTTCAAAACAAAGATTCGGTTTGTCAATATTATCATAACAAAACTTTCCCACCGGGAGTAAAGAGCCTTTTTGACGCGAAATCTTCAGAAATCGACATGGAATTGAAAAATAAAATATTAAATCAGCTCCTAGTTCAAAATGTGGACTCAAAAAATCGGCGACAATGAGTCTTGTTCCGCCTCCATGACATCAACTGCAGTAAACAGCGTATGAGAGGCTAGCATAGCGGTCCACTAAATAACAAAGAATCAAAAAAGGGAAAGTGAATAGGTCGCCGCTCGCAATTCGCTATCTTAAATTACAGATGGATCTTGTTGTTTTGCCGGGAAACTAATAAGAATTTCTCGTTAAATCCGCTCCATCTCGACCCGGTCCTGATATCTCAATTTTGCAACGTCTGCATCTAAAAAACCGATTTGTTTTCATTCGATTATCAAAAAGAGAAAATTAATTTCATTCATGCGAATCTTATCTCGCCTTTCAGTTGAAACAAAGAACGAAATCACGGAGAACGCGCGACTGACACGAAGTTGTGCCAATCTCCACGAGATAACAGACATAATCAAACATTTGATTCAGTGCTCTCTTTTTTCCCGTGGCAAAATAGCGACATTTCAAAAGCTTCACCGTTTGCCAAAATTAAAGTGCACCCTCTGGATTTTAAAGATAACAAAACTAAAAGCATACCTAATGATCATGCATATTGGTATATAATAACACTATTCATTTTTGTACCACAAACAGCAGTTTCGGTGACAACTGAAAGCTAATTTGAGCAGATAGACGATAACACAGTTTACCCAACTGACACGAGGTAAGTTTTGCTTTAGAATAAATGATTAGTCTGGAAACAATGATTTCTAAGCAAAAGGAGTATTGTTGTCGAAAAATGGTCAGCGTAAGCTTTGGATAACGATCATCCACACTTCATTTGCAAAACGAATTCAGTTGATCCTTTTGTTCTTAGGAAAATTGCGACTTACAAACGTTAAGGCCTTTGTTTCGTATTTCAAAGTGACTAATGTACATCAAAATTAACGTGAGCCGCGTATTCTTTCCACAGTTAAAACAACCACTACCAGACGAGGTGGAAAACTTGCGCAGACGGAACGTGTCTTTTTTAAGTATGAATTTCACGGGAAACTTAACCACTTCTACAAGTGTAACACCGCGATTACCTTCCCAAGCCAGCACCATTGCTTCGGCGACATTTAACACGATTGTCATGGTGCTAACCATACTTGGAAACTCTCTGGTTTGCCTCAGTATTTATTACTTCCCTCGTCTTCGCAGGCCCACCAATTTCTTAATTGTGTCTCTGGCGGTAAGCGACCTGCTTGTGGGATCTTTGTCGCTCCCATTCAGAATCGCTCAGACGATAAACCAGGAGCATTGGCCAGAAATTCTGGGTCTCGCTGGCTGCCAGTACTGGATTTGGATCGACATGGTATGCTGTGGTGCCTCTATACTGAATCTGACAGGTATCAGCTTTGATCGACTCCTTGCTGTAAAATGGCCGCTAACTTACCACGAGAACATGACCACTAAGCGAGCTACTTTGATTATTATACTTGTCTGGGTCTTCGCATTGATTGTTGCCTGTTTGTCGTTCGTTAAGTGGGGTGGAACTGAAACTATTATCGTAGAACCCCAATGCTCCATAAAAGCTAAGATTTATATCACCATATTGGCCGTGGCTGCGTTCTTCTTCCCGTTAACCGTTCTTGTTTTCAACTACGTTCTGGTTCTAAATATCGCCATTCAACACGCGAGGCAGGTACAGAAAGATAGGGACGCTATCGCCGTGAACTTTTTGTCTGATCAAGACGCCAACGAAGAGACCAGTGGAATCGTCAGCTCACCCGCGTCCAGCAGCAGAGGAATATCAATAGGGAAGCGGAGTAATGAACCGCTAACTGACTCAAAACCGCGACGCTCGTCAGGACTTCAGATCATGAAGCAACTCAAGGCCACCAAAACGTTGGCAATCGTTGTGGGGGTCTTTATTCTCTCATGGTTTCCTTTTTTCGTGATTTTCATCACTTGGCAGTATTGTCAAGATTGTTTCTCAAGATTACCACAAAAACACGTCACCGCTTTAGTCATAGTGTTTGTGAACGTTCTACCAGTGAGCAATTCCGCAGCAAACCCCATTATTTACACGTGCTTTAACAAGGAGTTCCGTACTGCCTTCTTACGTGTTATCTACAAGGTTTTACGCAAATCAGGCAGTGAACTCATGTCAAAGTCAAACGGCCATACCGATACATATAATTCTTGCGCGTAACTCTTGAAGAGATATGAATGCTAGTAGCTTTTATTTGAAATGACTTAACTTTGTATTTACTGTAGTTACAATGTAGTTGCGTCCAAAGATATGGTTTCCGTAAGATTTCCTGGATTGTATGAAGCTCTCTTGATTTCAAGACGATTGTGAAAGTCCGGGCATTTAGTCTAACCTTGCTCGGCCGCACAAACTTGATTGAAGCGAGAGGATTGTGGTCGTTTTTATCGTGCAGGTCATATTAGATCGTGTAGACTAGACCTGGTCCTAGTGGCTTGAGCATTATCTGGCGCAATTATCGCCAGCTGTACGATTACATGGAAACCAAGCTTAAGTGAAATACCCGAAACCTTTCGAAAGTATTCGTGTAGAAAAAAGATCATACCAAAAGAGATACGTGTTAATTAGCAGGATCAATGTTTTGCTTCGACGTTTTGACTGAGAAATGGTTCTTACGACACAAATCAAACAATTAGGTCTTTACAAGTACAAAAGATCTCTAGAGATTTCAATCGTTTTATTTTTACACACAAACCTCTTTCTAGTTTTGGCGCGCTGTTACAAGTGAAGTTTGTTGAACACTGTCAATCAGATCGTATGACGATACCAACTTGCTTACATACTGAACAACTAAATTAAATAGAGTTCAATTGAATTTATTTGAAAGTCGCGTCACAATTATTTGAGGGGCATGGTTCGTTGAACGTTTCACATCTTACTAGCACACGAAAGTCAGTCATGGTTCGTTGAACGTTTCATATCTTACTAGCACACGAAAGAAATTGGAAAACAGAAATTTGGTCAACAACAGAAACTACTCTTGCGGAACTATGGAGCACAGTCTACATAAAAGGGGTCGCCGAAGGCGGGCACATATAACATCACTGGGTTATAATGAATTGATTAGGCTACAAAATCAAAGTCTTCTGGGTGAGCTTGATAACATATCAATCAAAGAGAAATTAATTAAAATAAACAGTTTGATCTCCAAAATGTATGGAAAGGACCACTAGAAGTCTATCTTTCCGCAGGAAATCGTTAGTTTCGAAAATATAACCGATTGTGGACAGTCGCTCAATCGGTTTAAATTAATACATTTTTCGTTCTGTAATATAAATCATTGCTACTCGCCGCTTCAACAAACGGACTTAAGTCAACATTCAACAGCTTTTTGTTTCATAGTGTTTACCAGCATCAAACATATAGAACGTTCAGAAAGACAATAAAGGAATAGGCATGACATCAGAACAATTAACTAAGTGTATTTTGTGAGTTTTTTTTTTGTTGTTGCCAAGTTAAATGCTAGAAATGATAAGATGGGACCACACGATTCGCCTTGACCACATGCACTAATAATGCGCTAATGGGCCGGTCAAGCGACCGTGGTCTCTTCTTTAATAAACAATTAGCCTAATGGATCATTTAAGGTGCCAAGGGGCGTTTGAAAGGAAATGAAGGTTGCACCCACCAAGTGGTATAATGATTGGTATTTCTGATTTAAGAAGCGTTCCAGGACATTTAACTGTTAAAAATGATTTCAAGGCTTTTGGCTGTTTTCGCTAGTTTTAATTTTATACCTTTCACTCAAGCTTTTAAATAGGTTCATTGTTATAACATGTTATTCTCAATTGGTGCAGTCTAATTAAAAATATAGGTTAATTTGCCTTGCCTTTGCTGTATTGTAAGGAAATAGAGCAGTTATCAGCCAGGCCAGGGGAATTGGTGGCTTTAGGAATATCTACATTTGAAGGTGTATTATCTAAAAAGACATGTCTTCTGTAACGACTGATATCTGGACAACCTTCTTGTTAAGTTAACAATAGCAGAAGTCATTGTGCGCGTCAAGTGATGACAAATGCTTGTTCAGGGTTGTTTAGGACATCACTACTCAATCTTCAAAACTACACTTACCCGGATCATAGTTAGTGCAGACCGGAGACAGATTATGAAAGCTGGAAATTGCAAACGGTTGACATTGGTTTACATCTACTACTGAGACTGACCTTGGCACCTCCTTGACACTACACGAATCATAGTTACTTACTATGAACGAATCAAGTCAGTTAGTGTTGCATACCTGACCTTAGAGTTAAAAAACAAAACGCACTGCATTACACACCGGATAGAGGTTTATCCAGTGGCTACCTTTATTCACCCTTCGAACAATCTGGGGCCCGAGGTTTTCTTCAGTAGAATGTACTTGCGGTTAGTTTGCATTTATTAACTGCAGTTTATTTGCACTTGGCATTTGCGCGAACGCGAGATTTACGTCATAAACGTATGCATCTCATAAACTAATATCTTCACGAAGTCAAGTTTGTATTAGTCTTCACACACGCAAAAATATCAGTTGAATGCACTTTACTGACTATGCCCGAATACTAATACTAAACGATGGACCTTTTTTAATTGAGGATTGTTTCCACAGTAAAATTGGAACCCTAAAACGAGGTACTAAAAAGAGAACCGGAATGAAGCGCCTTGTGGCTTAATTAACATGATAGTCACTAAATGTAATGCGTCTCTTGATTCGTCATTCAAGACGCACCAAGACCTAACACTTGATATTCAATTTTGCCTTTCACCCGTGCTGAATAACACAATATAATGATTTATGTAAATTTGAACTAATGTAAATGAGAAGAAAAATGTAAACAACCCCTAACGAGGAAGGTAAAAGAGAGTGCATCAGTTTAAGAATAGTTCGCTTCCAGTGAATACTGGAGACATTTGATTTTCTCTGTAGTCAAATAAAGCTGTCGAAGACTGTCTGATTGAGCAAGTTCTCGCGCATTTTGCTGCCCCATTCGTTAAGTGAGGGTCTCAATCACTGTCAATGGGGTGATATATATATATATAGTAATATAGATCAATTTCTATAGCGCATTTCCATGTAAATGCTCTAATGCGCTTTACAACACTGTGCGGGGGACTTTTCCAGACTGCCGGCGGCAGTTTACAATTAATAAAGGAGAAATTTTTACAGATGCCCCCTCCCTCCCTTCCCAGTAAACAGGCCAGACCACATCACAGTAATCTCGTGATGTGGGTTCTTTAACGTCCCTTGCCGAAATTAACTAATTGATAGGTGCAGGAGACGGGACCTCCGGCTTTACGTCCTATCCGAGAAGACGAAGCAATGTGAGTGAAGCGTCTTGCTTAAGGACACAACGTCAAGCCCCAGCCAGGACTTGAACCCGGGCCATCTGACCTAGAGTCCAGCGCACTGACCACTGGACTACTCACGCCTCACA